GTAAGTAAGTAAGTAAGTAAGTAAGTAAGTAAGTAAGTAAGTAAGTAAGTAAGTAAGTAAGTAAGTAAGTAAGTAAGTAAAGTTTTATTTATATAGCGCCTTTCACAGAAATAAATTCACAAGGTGCTGTACATTCAGGGAAAAGAGGAGGGGGCAGTTAAGACTGGTCATGCAGCAAACACAGTTGCGCTACCTTAAAAACAGAACAACAGAAAAACTAAGAAAAAGACCACGAGGAAAGATGAAGAAAAAAGCAAAAACATCATATTATATCAACATTGTGACACACTATGTTGTTTATGAAAAAACCTCTGCATAGGGCAGATTTATTAGCCAGAGGAGTAAGTGAGATTAGCGGGCTCGAAGAATCCAATCCCCAGAACCAGCACAGCTATAGTTCAGAATATTGATGGAACTGTTCATTCTGTGCGGCCTTCAGCCTGCTCAGGAATCAGATTAGCCGGGTGAGGGAGGAGGGAGGGGGTAGGGAGGGGGCAGAGCCTTATCGACGTAATCCAGCCAGGAAGAATTTAGTCAACAGATCAAGGCCGTTGTCGGGGAGATCCAGATTCTGTAATCAGTTGTTTTGGGAACAAAAGGGACAGGCAGACGATAACAATTTTCCATCTGCTTTAAAGTCTGCTGGTGCATCTCAAGGTGGTGAATCCAATCAGGCAAATGGTGTGGACAAATTCTGCTGAGCTGATCCATCAGCTTCTCCAAGATCAATTCCATCTGGCCAGCAAAGTCCAGGGACCACAGCCGGCCCGCAACCCTCAATAGAACCACTTGCAGACCGAGTCCAGCTCGCTCAAGGCAAAAAGTCTGAGTGCTGAGAGAGTACAGCCATCCATCAAGTTGGTTAGTCAGACAGGAGATGAAAAGCCACCAACGCTGTTTTGCAGAATACCAGGAGACCACCAAGCCAATCTGCAGAATCCAATGATCGGAATCCAGATATATATCCAGAACATAGAAAAACAGAGGTCCCACCTTTGACATGTCCTCACATGGAAGAAGAAAAAACTTTGTTCCAAAAAATTTATTGAGAGACCAGCTAACCAAATCCATAAAAAATAAAAATATCCATAATTTCTGGTTTCGGATGAAAAATGTAGAGAAGCCTCCAAGCAGCAGAGCAGGAAAAGATAAGGAAGGGCAGGAGAGAAGGAAAAAGCGTCTTACTCCTCCAAGAGCAGAAACAAAGGACAAAACAAAAAAATCACCTTGTAAATCATTCAGTTGTTTGCTTCTGCCAGGAAAAGGGTCGTAAAAGGTAACAATTTCAGACAATTGGCTACAAGCAGTGTGGGAGACAAGTTTCTGAGCCTCACTGCTAACCATCACCAATACTCCTTTTTCTTCAGCAAGACCAAAGAAATTTGTGTCTCACATGTTTCTTTTTCTTATTTCAGTTTCTCCACTTTGCTCTGACTAGWTGTTAKCTTGTCAATTTGGTCAGAATTCAACTCCATTTTCCCCAAACTGGGRTCATTCAAAGAGCTATATTTTGCCATCTAAATTRCATTTTTTCTTCAAAACCCCCAATTCCTATATTTTGTGTCAAAATAAAGATCAGAAGTCACACAGGACAATAGTGAGTTGTACTATTCCACCCATTTCCACAGTTATTTTTCTGACTTAGTGATTTTTGGAAYGGCAACACAGATTCCCCTCAGCTTTGTTTCGAGCTGGTGTTGCGTTTCTGTAATGCTGTTACTCATGGCTAATTAAAGAAGTCCCAGAGATTTTTTACAGTCCGAATAAAATGTCAATATTGTTTTTGCAAAACACTCTAATGAGKTTGGGCTTTGAACTGGAACTCTGCGCCTCATCGAGGCAGCTAGACGAAGGGTCAAGCAGGTGACTGCTCCATTTTACTGCGGCACGTTAATATTTCATCAAGTATTCTTTTGAAAAACTGAAGGTCATTTTGCAGATTGGTTGGAAYACCAGCCTGCACCAAGCTGACTTGGACAGAGGCAGGCTTATTATTGGTCCCAGTGGTCAAACCACAGCCCCGAGGAACAGCTGACATTCTTCTGCCTGGTTGTCTTTGTTTCCACACCAGGCCGACCGATGACTCTTTCCTCACTGGTTCRGTTAGAAATTGCATTTTGAGCAGGTATGAAAACTATTCTATTTGTGTAAATCCTGACTCAGCAATCACACTTTTGTTTACTTTAGTATTTTTTTCCATACATTTCTGAACATTTTGTTCAGAAATGCCATTAATATGAAAATGCTCAGCTATTTCAACAGATGTATGGTATGTTTTTTTGTTTTTTTTCATAACTTACACTTGTAATAATATTCAACTATATTTACAAATATTTCCACAATAAAACTCCATTGAAATCTTTTCAGTTCATTTAAAAGCATTCTTCTCTTTAAATACTGCTTCAGCATACTTGCTCTGCTTTTGTAGTCCCATATTTTTTTTGTTTTAGCTGCCAATCTGCAACWTTTAGCTTTACGTTATCTTTTAATATGTTTAACTTTTAGTTAGTGTTCTGTTGTGTTTCAACTTTTTCAGTGAAATCGTTCAGCACTCAAACTGAACTTTCCTAGACAATGCAATGGGCCTC